AAGTTCTTTACGTTGTATTTCTGTCGAGTCATTTCAAAGTGCGTTTAGTTGCGTGAAAATGCATCTATGTTGGAATTAGGGATGATAGTCGTATCTTTTCCGCCCGTGTGTAGGCCTATTTGGTGAATTTATTTTCAGATTAAGCTCGTGCAGCATTTATGAATAATTTACCTCGTATGTTTCATACCGATACATATTATTACATTCGAGGCTTTCAAATAGTAGTTTGTAAATTACACTAACTTGAATCCGTGCTTCCAGTGAGCGTGATGTGATGGTCAGTGTTGTAACAGGAATCCCTATAATTGGTGCAAAGTTGAAGGATTGCAACCTTAAAGCCTTTCGCACGCAGGCAGAGGGCAACAGATGCAGTGAGGCAAGACGCGATTTTACCATTTCCTCGTGTGGTGCTTGAGTGCCAGGGTGATCTAGAAGCTCAAGAAATTGGGTTATTGTTTAGTGAGTGATTACTGGTCTTCCTAGTGTGGGTGCTCTTGCCAGAGACCGAGTCCCAAGTCTACATCACGACCTATATTTATCATAGTTGCCATGACTTGGCATGCCCTGCAGGCACTGCTCGAGGGATGGGTGCCAACAATACCCCCCCAACAAATATTGTCTTCACCTCCGTACGCATGCAAGAGAGCTGAAACTCGAGAGCACTGAGCGGGCTCTGGCCATAAGCTGCATTTTCTGTTATCTTTTTCCTTTATTTGTGGTTTAGTGGTCCTGTGCAGATTACTTTGTGGAATAACTGCAATGGTTAGTCCTTTACAAGAATATCGCCATCAATTTGCCTTGGCTTAGTGTGGCCATACCGTAAAGATTACCTGTGATCATATCCCAACGTGAAATTGTTCCAGTCCACAACCTTGAGGGCAATCCTGGGAATCCACAGGCCTTGCCGCTCAAACCAGATTCCTAGTCTGAGAACTTCGGCCTCAGACCCACACCCGGTTGCTGTGTATTTTGTCTGCATTGCATTTGTCTATCTATATTATTTCTGGCTATATTCTTTGCCAGCACGAATTACTTTGTGTATCAGTGTTGCTTCCCCCCAACCCTCCCTCTCTCTCTATGACCGTCTACAGATTTTTCCATGACATTATATGGCATTTGGTTGTTTATTATTATTATTATTACTATTAGTTTCTCCTGCTGCTGCTGTGCAGATTATTCCATACATCCATGCGTAGTTTCTTCCTCTTTGATAGTGTCCGGTGTAAATATGTACCGAAAATGTATCAGTTAGGCTTTTTAGTCATGGTAATTCTGTAGAATGAGATTTTGAATCATTAGACTTCCATCAGTGCCTAATAACCAAATATAGCCCATAGTTACTAAATAGATTTAAGCAACCAAATACTTTCTACATCTTGAACACCAGAAGTTGATTAAATACATGCTGTCATAGTTGGATACAGGACACTTTGGTTTTAGATTTCATATTAATAAGGTGGTATATATTTACATATTGGCCACTCTGTGATAGGCAAAAATATCAGTGCTCTGGATATCAATGGCAACACACCGACTTTGAGCGCGGGAGTTCAGTACATCAAGCCGAATCACCAGCTCATAGCACTTTGGCACATCGCTGCGAGGTACAGCCACATGCCACAGATAGAGCGGTTTGTTATGCTTCAGGGCATGACCCATTGGGAAGGGGTTTAAAGTTTAAAATAGGTCAGCACACTGTTTATAATAATTATACATGCTTATTTTAAATGGCATAATTAGCTGCATGAAAGTTTAAAAAGAATCACATAGAATACTTATAATGAGCATTTAAATATACAATGAACAAATGTTACTCAAGTTTACAGCCCGGGAAATATGACAATCAGTAGGTTTTGGGGTTAAATACCCTTAGTTTAGCTTTTATTTCATATGACATTTTTTTGTAGTTTTAGATTGGGATTCAGTGTGTTCAATAGTGAGTGCCTTGGTCCATTGCGGATTCCATCCTGTTGCCAATTTTTACCACCATAACCAATGTTTTATTTAGTCTTTAGCTACTCTGCCTCTAACGTTTATGTTGAATTTCATCAAAAAATTTTATGCTCATTGCAATAATTACATCAGCAGATTAACAATACAGGACCAGGCAGTGAAAGATTAATTAGTAAGAAATGATAAATACTATATAAATAGAGCAGCAGGAAACAAGGCAGTGCTTCGTGCTCTAGCAAACGAAAATATAAATTCCTGAGAGGTTAGGAAGTTTTTCTTGTATTGTTGGAATGTTCTTGGAGATTTTCCATTTACAAGCTTTTTTCAATTTCTGCTCTACCCTTACTTTCTGCAGATTTGTTTTTATACCAATTTTGTATTTTTGGGTCCTTGCTGTAGTTTCCTTGTTTGGTGCTGTTCTGAACCTTAAAGAAATGGCGTTGTTTTTCTGTGAAAGGTTTTCTTTGGTCTTGCTAACTTCAAGGTTTTATTACTTTTATTACTCCTATCGATTTTAGGAAATTTTGAAAGTGAAGTGGTTATCAAAATTGTTGATGACCATGCTGCTTTATTATACTTCAACAATCACTTTATTGCACCTATTAAAGCTGCACAAGTATCTTCTAGCTTGTGCAGTGTCGGAAGGTGCAAGATAAATACTGTGGGGTTCTCTGATGCCATTCACTGTGTAAGTTGGAAAGATGGCCCTTCAGAACAAATGTATCTTGCATTTCTTTACATAGAAAGGACATTTTGGTGAGATAATCTCAAGTTTTAATTGGCTTGTCTTCCTAATAGATATCTTTCTTTCCAGTCAAGATGCCGATCACCCACTCACTGGCCGTTGGCCTTAACAAGGGCCACAAGGTCGCCAAGAACACCAGGAAGGCCCGACCTGCCAGAAATAAGGGAGTAAGTTGGACTGCACATTTTAGCCACAAGTTATTTGAAATAGTTTCCCAGCTTTTTTTGCTTTTAGGGGAAATCCTGATTTATTTTCTGCTTGTGCAAATATACAAAGTTAAATGCAACTCCCTGTAGAATGGAAGGGTCTGTATGTTTACTAATTTATTTTGTTTAACAGAGGAACACAAAACACAACAAGTTCATCCGCGACATCGTTCGTGAGGTCACCGGCTTTGCCCCCTATGAGAAGCGCACCATTGAGTTGCTGAAGGTGTCTAGGGACAAGAGGGCCATGAAGTTCTTGAAGAAGAGGGTGAGTCCTGCAACGCATTTGTTGACACATTGATTTTTGCAGGTTTTCTGGGTTCTTGATAGTGCCTTGTATCTTGAATTCTTGTGATGAGAAAAGTCCCACTTGTACAGTTTGAAAGATGTAAATTTCCTGATTTCAATTCATACCTTTTAAAATAAAAGAATTTTGAAACCAGTCTTCAGTCAATCTTTGATGTATAGTGAGTTTTCTCAGTCATTGTGTTGGTAGTGTTTGTCAGTGAAATCTGGTGAAACATTGCAAGCTGAATTGTATTGTAGAATTATTCATTTCAATTCATACTTTTTCTACCTGTTAGTCTACTTGGTTCTCCCAGAACCCTTGTTAGGATTTCTAGGGAGGCTCGCTTAAATTTTCACATTTATTATTAGTGAGGAATGAATCAAGACGCATGAATCTTCAATATATTGTTGGCTTTCTCTCACTCCAAATAACCACTAAATTGCCTTAGAATGTTTGACACCTTATAGAAGGCTACTAGTTCAGTAAATATAGGATAGTATAATGCTTCTGACAAAAGAGTTTTAAATAACTCTCCTAGATTTTTTTTTTTACCTACAAACTTTACTTGGACCAATTATTTATCTTCTTTAATGTTCCTCTTTTCTTTTTTGGCATTCTTACATGCACTTATTAAAGCTCCATGAGTATCTCTTAAGCTCATGTGGTGTCGGATGGTGCAAGATGAACAATGTGGAATCTCTATTGCTATAAGGGTGGTTTGCCCATTGAATAGTGAAGAGAGTAGGCCTCATGACAACTCATATCAGAATAGATAAATTTATTGGCTGTAGACAGTCCAGTTGTTCATTTCCTTTGAAGGTGTTTTATTTAGGATTTGATAAGCAATTTCCTTAGTTTATTTGAATATTATATCTGCAGTAAGAGAATCTTGGCAATGGAATAGTCAGGAGACAAAACTCAAGGGTTACTTATTGTATACAGAAAAAAATTAACATTTGTTGTAAAGATCTCAATCTGTTAATTATATCAAATTCTCCCAGTATACCATAGTGTGTTCTTGTTGCCTTTCATTATCGCCAATGTTCCTCTCCTGTTATTGCATTTTTCATGAGATTTTCTGGTGGCTGGCAATTCATTACCAATTCTGATGCTTCCTTGCAGCTGGGTTGCCACATCCGCGCCAAGAAGAAGCGTGAGGAGATGCAGAGGGTGATGGGACAACAGAGGAAGGCCGCTGCAGCTGCTGCTGCCGCCGCCGCCGCTGCTGCCGCTGCCGCTTCTGCCACTACCACCAAATAAATGAAGTTGTAATAAAGGAAAAAAAATCTATTTGTTGGTTCTCATTCCATTCCTTTGGCTTTGTATTTGAGATTTGTCATTTGAGAGACAGGGCTCAGTTTGATAATTTTAATAAACCACATGTATTGTGTGTGTGTTTGAGATCGCCTGTTAAATATGCTTTTTGAGATTTTAGTTTAAAAAAGGAAGAACATACATATAAACAAATTGCCAAAAGCTTCTTCGTATGCAGCTTGTTTATATAAATACATGAATATCTTAACCTTGCTTAAATAATGAGCTATAAAAAAAAAACTTGGTAAAATGTATGGAAATGTAAGACTAGACAAAAGGTTGGCAGTGTTTATTCTCAATCTGATTCTTGGTATAGTACAACAAATTTATTTTGCAACAATGATTAACTTGGAATGTGAAACTAAAAATGCTTAAATGTGTAACTGAAACCTTTTGTGAACTATATAATAATCCAAAGAAAAGCACAGGGGATTCCACAATATTAAGAAGATAGTAACCCCTCCCCTCCAATCCCATACCGTTGTTGCCGAGTGGGTCATGGAGGCTGGATCAAAGGCTGGGGGTCGCCCCTGCCTTGGCCCTCAGCCCTCGCCTCAACTATCCTTTCACGGTCTTTCCCCCTCCCCCCTTCGTTCCCCTTTTCATATCCCTCTCTCCTCCAACCCCTCTGCTATCCACTTCCTAAGGTGTGACTCGCCAACCCAGCTTTTAACAAATTCCAACCACCGCCTATCCCCCCTTCAAGACTCCTCCATAACCGTTGGGAATCTTTCTGGCCAGTTCTGACCAATAATAAACCATAAAACCTCCCCCCTCCCCTTGGTCGGCACCGTACCACCAGAGCAGACGCTGGGAACCTGCCCTTACCCGTTTATGAACAAGGCCCATAACTCGCGCATTCACATTCGTATCAACCCACCTCTACGCTCCATATTCTCATACAACTTTCCACTGGGTGGACTTACTCTAGGAGACACCCAGGGTTATGATCAGATTCACCACTGGTAATTGCAGTGGACTAGCTTTGCAACATAATAATTTTCCTGAGTTTAATTTTTGTTCAACAAAGATAAATCCAAACACTAACTATAATTATGTAGGTTAATAAACAAATTAATCCTTAATCTACAAAAAATAATGCCACCTAATAATATGAAGGTTTTGGGGGGGGGTTTTTTGGGGTTTTTTTTTTTTTTTTTTTGTTTGGGGGGGCCCCCCCCCCCCCCCCGCTTGGCTTTGGGGTTGGGGGGGGGGGGCTTTTCTGGGGGGGGGGGGAAATAAAAGTATAAATAAACTCAATATAAGGCACGAGGGGAAAGAAATGAAAATATTTGGTGTTTGCATGACAGTGAATCACACTTACACTCACATTTATAGGAAATATTGAGTGAAATGATTAATACATGTAACATGAAAAATAAAGTAAAACTATTCTGATGGTGCGTAATTAATCACGACAAGTAAATTCCAAAGCAAGGACAAGCCTTAGGAAAAGCACACACAATTTTCTTGCATCCAACCCCAGGCTTTTCATGCTAAAATAACTCGACTTCCTTTTACGATTATGATTATGTGTTATAACAGATACACATAACGTAACAACAATTCTTTAATAAAACATTTATGAATGCAAAGGAACGAAAAACATGTCTACAAACCAAAAAAATGGATATTTCAACATAAGACTTACATAACTATACCTTGCATGATATTTTGATATTTTCATTTATTATGTAATACAGCATAACAATATGCACTGCTCCTCTCTGTCCCGCATATCCTACTTATCATACCATCGCGTTTCCTTCTTGTACTCTGTCCCCCCTCCCCCCCCCTTGAACCTCCCCCCGGAATCCCCCCGCTTTCAATTAACGGTCTGTTTTCCTCAGCCGTTGTTGTGTAAATACCCTCCGTTTGAATTAATCACCCTTTGTCCTGAATCCCTTGCGCCTCTACCAAAGCCCTCTGCTACCCATTTGACTTTTCACTTTCTAGTGCATTTTCAATCATAATCTCATAATGCCGCTATGACCTGTGGAATCGAAGGCGTTTGGTTCTGAATAAAGAACTCTCAACCTCCGTCCCCAATACTTTACCACTAGTGCTACGTGACCCATTTGAGCTAGCACATTATTTGTTTAAATATTAAACATTCGTCTTACCGTTATTGTTATTAACATTATTACCATTGCTTGTGGAATAAGCTGTTATTTATTATAATATACAGTTGAAGCTATGTGTTCCTGCTGACGAGTATATATATGCATATATACAATAAATGAATACAGTGTGTCTGATTATAGATGTACATATATGTGTCTATATACATATACATATACAAATGCGATAGGCATATATATATATATATGATATTATATATATATACTATATATATATATATATATATTATTATATATATATCTATATATATATATATATATATATTATATATATATATACTGCCGCGATTAGCTCCAGTGGTTAGAGCACTGGAAATCCGGGACCCTCGTGGGTCCCGGGTTCAATTCCCCGTCGCGGCAGTCGTCGTTAAATGCGTTACGCTCTCCACTGACCTCGAGCCCGAGAAAACGATATCGGCTTGAGAAGTCAAACGCAGGTGTCGTTAGGGGAAGTAACCGCCGTGACACCAAGGTTTTACCGCGCCGACCCGGTTGATTAGGAAGGGAATTCAATCAGGCCAAGGGTGACACGCCATATAACTCTCAACAGTGACTTGAGAGAGGCTAGAGGGGCGGCGAGGGGAAAGGAAAGGCGTGGTAAAAAAAAAAACAAAAAAAAAAAAAAAGAGACGAGAGGAGATGAGAGGAGAAGAGAGCAGAGAGAGATGAGACAGAGAGGGAGAGAGGAGACCCACACAGAGAGAAGAGACGAGAGGAAAGAGAGAGAGAGAGAGAGAGTAGAGAGAGAGAGAGAGAGAAGAGAGGAGAGAGAGGGGAGCGGAGAGAGAAGAGAGAGTAGAGAGAGAGAGGGAGAGAGAGATAGGGGAGAGAGAGAGAGAGTGAGAGAGAGAG